TGGCGACGTGACACGTCAAACAAACGTATTCGTTGTAATACCGACGGCGTAACATCTGTGCCGTAATGCTATGACAAAACAGTTTTAACCTAACTTCAAATATACGTAGAATAGATTATCTAATCTCCGTCACGTTTAATTGCAGGAAAAGTGATTTGGAACTAGTATTTCTTTATCTCAAATCTCAAAATTCTTATCTCAAGTTATTTACTCTGCAATTGAGCAACTTTTAAGTTCTTCCTTATCCCCCGAATTTGGTTCTATCTTTTAACACACTGAAATCTTCTTTCTTATTTCTTTTTTCACCGCTTCTTTTCTCTCTCTGAATGTTCTAATTTTTTTCTTGTCAGCTACGGAATCTTTTTTAGTACGGAGAGGATTTATATATTTTAAGATTTTTATAAAACACTTTCTGGAGCAGTCGAAACGTCCACGCGGAGGTAGGAAATTTCAGTTTTCTCTTCACTTACGTCCAGGTATTTCTTTTGTCGAACCTTGTACTTTTACTGGTATATGATACTAACTTCGGCGAAGAAATGTAATTAAAATTACATTATGAACGGCAATAATTTACGTGGTTCAGTGAACGTGTTAATCATATACAATTACTCCTAAAAATATTGAGATACTAACAAAAGAACCATTAAACAGGGAACAGGCAAAAATATTCATTATATTTAAAATATTTAAAAAGTTCATCTTATGAATAAAAGATTTATACTCTTTCAATTTCGAATTAAAATATTGAAATATTCCAACTATTACGAATATGAACGTTATACCACGAATATTCAATATTTTCATTCTTATTAACTGTTCGATTATTTATGCGATACAGTAATTAGACGTAATTTCGATTAATTACAACGTCACATACGAAAATGCGTTAAATTAACAATACGTGATTCTAAAGTATGATAAATGATGTTTCAGAACGAGAAGGTATGAATTCAGCCCTTTTACTATAATTAAGCGAAATGTGTCACCAGAGAGGCAAGCTTATATAGCCTACATGTACAGTGTCCGAATACTGTTCACTCAGGTGACAGTGCACAGTGAAAGACAAAATATAATTAATAAAATCACTAATAAAAATTTTTCCACAAAGTTTCATCGTCATTTCGAGGTGTTGTTCCCTTTAATCCCAATTTTCACGTTTCACGATATTTCGTTTCTTATTGGGGTGGAACTTTCGGAACCGATAAACCCATTCTACGGTGGAGTTAACTCGATGCTACGGGAGAGGAAGTGGAGGAAGGGAACGGTGGTAAACCGTGAGGAATTTCTATTCGGTGATTCCGTCGGGCAAACCGGAAGTGTGCCGCGCGTGCTTCAGAAAATGGACGAGGGAGAGATGTAATATCGTTTTTTTTTGCGACCTGGAAATCGGAAGGGTGTGGTGGTGGATTTGAGGGAACGAAAGGGGAAGAGAAGGATTGTACAGCTGGTATTGGGAAAACGGACGTTTGCTTGCAGATTTTTGTCTCGAAGTTGCTTCAGCGTTGGACGCTGGAAACTTTCGAGGAGACGGAGAAAAGTGTTTTTTGTTTGGCTTTTTAAGCCAGAAAGTCTTTCTACTTCAACATATTCCTTTCTTTGATTTTCGATTTCGAAATATGTCCAGTACCTATTTTCCCGAGGAAAAGGAAAATTTTTACATATTTATAATTTTATTTTCTATTCTTTGTTGATATTATCATTCAATTCGTTCTTTTTTCAATTTTTCTTTAGCAGTTCTTTTTCATAATTAAAATGGTGGAGAAGTTTTGACAGTTATTTGTCGATAATTGCAAACTTCAGTTGGTATTTAAAAATTTATTTTTACATTTTCTTCAAACGCCGTTTTAACAATACCGTGAATTTCGTTCGAAGAGAATTTTTGACAGACAATAACCCCATTGCCTCGCGTTCAAAGGACGCGAATCGATTTTTCATTAAGTGATTAGTATCAATATACGCTTCCCGTCACACTATGCCTCGTAATTTCATTATTATTATGCCAGCCTGCACCTTTTCTTTCAATCCATTATCCTACCCTCCCTCCTATAATTTTCCCCTCGCCGAGGACAGCCTTCCGCTATTAATTAATTAATTCCCATTCGTTATCTCTTAGTTAAACATCTTTGTCTTTCTCCTCTGTAATTTATACTTTAAACTACCATAAAGTAGCCAAAAAAGTCGAGTAAATTTTCTCGATTTAACAGAATTTTCCATTTTTCAAATCAATGTTTAAAGGGACAATTTTTCACATTTAAAAGCACCGCCGAAAAATCTAATTTACAAATTAAAATATTGAAAAAATTTTAAGGGAATTTTCTTTTTTTTTTGTGGTCAGAGTTTCGTTTATGCGAAGAAAATTTAAGCAGTACCATCAAGTCTCTGTCGTCGTCTCATTAACGTCAAATTTATCGTTGTACGATTCAGAGTAGGGGCTTTGACATGAGCCGCACGCCAGTTACAGGAATAGGAATCCATTAAGTCTCGAATGTGTGCAGGGGGGAATCACATTTAGGCATTTGCATGCGCGTCCATGCAGTCACTTTGCACGTGCACCACTTTCTGCAAACTATTGCCTTACCATCTGGCTGTCGTCCCTGTTTAACAGTGTCAATTGGCCAAAAATTAGCGCAAATTGAACCTGCTTCCATATTCGTTTAAACACATCACGTAGAAATTTTCAATTTGTTCATAAAACTTGTGACGAAGAGAAAACATAACCTCGTTCAGTTTTCTGCAATTTTCGATTGCGAACCGGCGAAAGGAAATGTAGCCGAAAGAAATTATTGCTGAATGTGTAATTTGCAGCTTGGGAATAATTTTATTCCGTTCAGAAAAGATAATTTCACAATAAAAAATATGAGTATTTAATTTTGACACAGCTACGAAACTTCTAGCGTTAAGAAAAATCATAATTTACTGTAACATTTTTGAAAAATTTCTTTTCACAGCAAAATTGAAGAATAATATTTTTTTAGAAGAAAAATGCCAATTTCTGACAAAGAATTTCCGTGCAACGGAAATACCACAAGTTACGTTACTAACAAATCAAGCCATATTGGCTCAGGTGGTAGAACGCGCAGGTGCTACTAGATTGGCCAGGGTTCGAATCCCAGTAGCCTAGCAATTTCGATTTTCTCGCTTTTTCCCACTCCGAATTTTTCCCAAGCACAACACGTGAACGTAAATTTCCCAAATCGGTGAACACTTAAACGGAAAATCCATGACAGTTTTCCAATCTGTGGAGAAAAATAGCGCACACGTGTATGGAAATGCTACATAGATAAGCTACATAAATAGTTTGGTAAATTCGTCGTCTCCATAAATTTTCCACCGGGGTCGAGAGGACAAAGGCGTGTATGTGTGTGCGTGTGGAAATCATCGAAATCCCTGCTGGAAAACCGATGAAAGCGGTATGAGCGAGAATGATTGTTTCAAAGAGAATGATTAATAACAGGACTGGTTCTGGCACGTATGCATTAGTAACTCGAAACTGGATATTATTGCATGGCGTTTGTCTATTCCTTGTTCTGTTGGAAATAATGATATTGACATGTACACTGTGGTACATGAAACGTTGATGCATTTCATAAAAATTAAATATTCAGAAAAGCGGAAGAATAAATTTTCTGTAATGCATATTGCATTCAACTCTAAAATATCTACGCAATAATTGTAAAATATTTGGAGTCCTTTTTAGTTACTAATTTAATTATTATTCATGTTTTTTTTTTTAAATTGTTAGTTCAAGCTGCAATGATTGAAGCATGAATGTAAATTTATTCTGGGTTCGAGTATGTGTTGTGACGTCACAGATTATTTTTTTACTAGATGGAAAATGGAATATTATATAATTTCTCGACGCGAAATATCGATAGAGTTTCCATGGAAATTGAAAACTCGTTTCCCCGTGCAGCCTTAACGGTGCCTTTCGAGTACAATCATACTTCCGTTTAGTCGGCACGCTATTGAACGGAAAGACGCGAATTAAAGCACGCCTAGACCTGTTAATAAGCCTTAATGCTAATTCGAACTTTGAACTTTGCAGCCAGTTATTATTGATTAGTCTGCAAACACTCTGCACTCAAGAAGAACCGAAAATAGGAGAAAAAAAAATTACTCTGGTAATTAAATAAACTATTTTTTCAATTAAAATTATTCAGCTAGAGGTGATAATGATTTTACAGCTTCCGTTCATTTTTCAAAGGACGATTTCCATGTTTTTGGACAAAATGGTATTCTTTTAGACACTCACCGGCCGCTGAAACGTTCTTTTCGTGGCACAGGCTCGCTTTTATCTTCAGAATTTGTTTCTGTATGTTTGGGCTGTTGGGATTGTTGAAGTCGATGTCCTCCTGCAAAAGAATTCGAAATAAATATTGCAGAAATTTTGTAAGAATGTCAGCCGCTTCGTCGAGGATTTTGATTGAAGAAGATTTCGATCCGATGTTTTCTCTAATAAATATCTCCATATTTGAAGAACGTTCACAAATTCTTTCGAGGAGATACAATCAGTATGAAAAATGTTAATACCGTGCTCCGTTTTGTAAGACTTGCTAATCTTTGTCATTTTATTCTAAAACATCTACTAACTTTTTTGACCAACAATTTTAACAGTAGATTTCCTAATCTTCTAAGAATATTCACAATTATTTTCAAGAAGAAATGAACAATATCAAAAGATTTATAAAATAATTACGAGATTAAGTACGTCATATTTTTCCAACGCACGGTATATGAGCTCATTATCATTTATATAGGCGATCAGTGCATATTCCGCAAATTCGGATTATTTCTGGACGCAGGAGTCGGTTCTGTTTGCTTACACTGCGAATCTCGCCGGACTCTATGTATTAATTTCCAAAATAAACGTGGGAACTTCCCCTACTGCCATGAAGCCCGTCCAATCTACAAACATTTCCTATCCACCATCGCAATTATCAGGCATCAAAAGTTTAACGAAAGCGAAGACTCTGAGAACCAAATAAATCGAAGTCCAACATCGGTGTGGCTTTGAAAACTGTGCACCGCTAATGCAGTCTCATCGTTTACGAAATACCCAGTCCACTAACGAAATTACAACGATCAGTGACCGTTCGACAAATTTACCTAACTAGGATATCGAATTTTCCTGGGAAATGTGTGTTGTTTGCATTTAATCGAGGGACAAATTTGTACCGTTCCCTCCCGCCATGCATGATTACGGATCGTTGAACGACGATTGGATAATTAATTTTCTTGATACAGTATTAGGGTACACAGTATGGGAAAAATTGGAGGAAAGAATTTTCATTTTTCTTGCTGTAGAAATTAGTATTTCCACATTTTGGATGAGAAATTTTGTTTTGAAAATTAAGAAAAATATCTTCGACGGTACGGAGATTCGATCTGAGGCCCTTGGATTGAGAGACAGCGGTCTTGTCACGTTTGCCAATTGCTAATGTGAAGTTAATCACATATATATAAGCTTTTATAGTAGAAGAATATCTATAAAATTTTGAATGAAAAACATTCATCTTTTGTACATGCTGATTGAAAGTGTATACTATCTGCAGTATGTGTGTAAAATTTTAGAGAAAAATTCGGAATATTAACAAAGTTACGGGGGTTTAAATCAGGGCCTTTCTCGAATATATACTTTGACCAATTGTAACCGTGGTATCTCAAAAACTGAACAACCAATTAAGTTTAAATTTGGCGCACATATTCTACAAAGATTTCTTTATTATCTCCTGTAAAAAGTATAAAAGTATCTGTCTCAGTTTCTTCGCAATAAAAAATTAAAGTCACGGAATTTTTCGAAAAATCGATACTTCACGTATTTCACAACCTAACTCTTTTTATATCAGGTATTGTCTCACAACAAATTTTTCCAATCTTTCCTAAGATGAGTTCAATATACCTGAAAACTTTCAGGTCGAAATATAATACTTAGTATCTTCAAAAAAAAAAAAGAAGAAATTGCAAACACGATAAATCTTTTTTTTCTAAACGGTCAGATTTTATTAGAAACTTATTGAAATGTCCCATGTTGGAAAAATATTTGCCGGAGAAAGACAGCCTTTGGGGGTGTATTTCACCGGATATGGCCAAGGTAAATGAAAACGGTTATTTTTCTCGCTTCCTAAGAGAATCGCCCTAGGCGTGCCACTATTCAAGCTACGATTGAAATACCCTCGAAATCACTGAATTCCAAGAGTTCGTGTATTTCGAAGCTTTGTGAAATTGGTTTAACGAGAATTCCATCGACATTCTTCACTTCGAAGGTTCGCCATTCTCCCTTTTCTTTTCTTAACAACGAAATTACCTCGCGGAATTGCTTAAAAATCGCCGCAAGTGACTGTAACACTGCTCTATAAATTACGTAAAAATTCTTCTCCAAGTGATTTTGCGTTTTTAGGGGGATGAAAATGTTACCGACACGTGATAACCTATAGAAATGAAGGGAAGATTAACTTTAACGTGCAAGGTAGTTTTTTTCGAGTGTTTCCCGCGGCTCTTGAATTTTTTTCGACAGAATGGAGCAGTAAAATGATAGGAACAGCAGTAGAATCATAGTATTCACACATTTCGCATAACTGTCCGTCGGATCCTTTGACGTTCTACGCCAGGAACGTTTCGAATAGCAAAGCGTGGTTGAAAATGGAATGCGGCGTAAAATCCCAGCGATTCCTCGTGACAACTGCATCTATAGGATTCAGGAAATTTTTTTCGTAATAAAAGAACATGTTTGCCATTTTTGTGCTTTATTTTATCATGGTAAAATTGCACCTATAGAATGGTGCACGAACCACCTCAGAAGACCGCAAATTTGTGATTTTTTTTCTTGAAAACTAGCACAGATAGCAATTTCAAAATTGACACACTTATCGCAGTATATTTAGGCTGTACGTACGTATTTTTTTAATAGAAATACTTTATCTTTAAAGTACTTTTATCGAGGGAGAAGTAGACGTGGTTGGTTAAAGAGTAGATATTCTTTGCAAATTTTTTTTAGGGCATGCAATAAACATTATGTAGGATAGAAAAATGTTTTTTCATAGCGCAATAGTTCCTTCATGAAGGGAAAAAAGAATGACCAAATTATCTTTGATATTTCTCCCGGAAAAAATTCTTAAAGTTCGCCTATTCGGGGAACCTTTCGAAGAAGAAACACACGATCGCTTTGCATGTCTAATATTTCTATTTCCATTAGTCAGAAAAAAATTCTTGAAATATATTCCCTTTGTTACGTGCGCAGGTATCACTGAAATACGAATAGAAAAGGAAATATTAAAAAGTAAAAAAAAAAAAATGCTAGCTCTTTAAAGCGAGACACACTTTTTCCTTTTAAGTTTCAGGCGAAAAGAGCCTCTCGTACAGAATATGCCGAAGGTGTGTTAATGGAAATGTCACTATATAATATTCGATACGAAATTTCTACGCTGGAGAGGATATTGGTGAAATTTCACCGAAACATTTTCCATGCGCTTCATTGTTCCTGCTCTCCGGTATTCGCGTTTTTATTAACGCAATATAAAAACAAAAAAAAGAAGAAAAGACGATACTGTAAATCAACGCGGAGTGCAATCGGGAGTTTTTTTTTCCGCGGCAAACGTCCTCTTTCCTTTCCATTGGAACTAGACGAAGATAAATTCCAATCGACTTTCGTTTTTCTGAGCAATCAGTATTACAGTCTTCTCTGACGAATGGGTGTTCCCTCGTAATGAAAGAAACAAATATCGAGACCATAAATAATACACGTTTCCTGAAGTTTTTACAGATTTTGTCATGCACTTTCTGAAAGTATTATTAATAAATTGCAAAGATGTATGCAACGGTTCTAAAAAAATATTTTAAATGGTCACAATACACTATCGGCCAAAAGTTTGGAATCACCTGCCACTTTTCATCAATATAAAATCTGCTGCTAATTTTTTATAGATTTGAAGTTTATCTCAATTCTACATTTATGAATTTATCTCATATCAATTGATTCGAATGATAAAAAATTCTCAAAGTCGCTGACATTTTTCTGGAAATTTTTGTGTAAATTGCAATGCTCAGTGATTCCAAACTTTCGGGCCGGTAGTGTAGGTTTGCAAACGTACAATTCTGATAAACTTCGACGGAAGTACAATGTTCCAAAGAAATATTACGGTAGAGGCCGTAGAAAATATTTGTAAAAATTGAAACAATTCTACCGATCGTGCAGACCCCCGAGAAATGTTGGAAAATTTTTAGAAAAATTCTCTCGTACATTCCAAGCAAATCTCCAGGAAAATGAAGATATACAATAGCGTCTGATGGTCGCTGGAAATTTTATGTAACCGAAGTGTGGACAGAAAAAATGAAGTAAAATGGTTAGTCTGTTTGTAGTTTATTTTCACCAACGTCGATACCAATTATTACGAACAATAACAACTATATAGTTTACTGGATATAAAGAGGGGTTTCACTCACGTAAACGTCCATTTTGTAGCCTTCACAGTCGCTTTGTCCCTTTATTCAGCAGCGTGCACAAGCCACTTCACTTCCCTGTAACGGATTATGTTTCGTTAATTAGACACTCGAGTGCTGCACACGGTCGACAAACAAGAGAATTTAATGAATTCACAACATAGGATATATTTTCTAAATTCACACGCGTGTTTACTTTCTCGTCAATTTTTATCTCTCGAATTAGTGAAACTATTTTTCTAACCTAGAATCGTACGTGATTTCGCCATATTCCTCATCCATACACACGTTGGTAATTGAATTATCCCAGCAGAATCGATCAATGAAATCACGAATCGTCAAATTGACGAAGGACTGTGGCTAGGGGGACACGCCCCTGTTTGCCGTTTTATTAACCCTCTATTAGCGACTGGAAGGATATCCATTTTTTATCATCGCTCTCGAATTATTACCCAGCCAAGAAACCTCTTTTTTCCCGATCGATTTGCCACACGAAACACACTTCATCCAATTTTCTTAAGCAATTATCCCTCCAATTATTTTTCGGGGAATTTTTTCTTTTCTTGTTGTTTCGACGCAATATTGGCTCGAGGGTAACAGAGAGCTCGAAGTGGAAAAGGTTTTCCGATTCTCTAGAAACTTTTTCGAAGTAAAAAATTTTTTGTACCTAACTACGGTGATTCGATCTGGAAAATTTGGATTGGGAACCTGAAAGTAGCTAACATTTTCAATTTTGTAACGCACTGCGTAAGAGATGTAGTGCACCAAGCGGCCACCAGACTGGCGCCCTCATCACCATGCCTCGCTTGCACCCCCGCTACCAATACCACACTTGTGCGCCTGCGCAGTTGACTCCCCCACTCCACCACTCGCGCTGGCCCGGGCCCCCCCCGCAAGGATTAAAAGAGGCCTGACCCATAGTTTTTATGAACAACACGGTTCACTGCTCCAAAGACGCTCCCTTGAGTGGACATCAAAGGACAGCGAATCTTACCTGGCTCCGACCTTGCTCCCTGAGTGGACATATACGGACCACGAGGTAACCCCTCGTCCATACGTTTTCCGCTCCCTGAACATCGGGTCAAGACGTTTCCGAGTACGACTCTTGTCCTTGCGTTAGTGTAAGAACTATTTAAATATAACACTTCGAAAGTGTAAGCTAGTGAAATTTATTTTCGGTCAGCCCGCAACCCCCGTAGCCAACCCGGTTACAATTTCAATTTGCGTTTATCCTTATCTTAATTGTTGTATACACTGTATAAAGTTCTCCATATAATAAATGGCTTAAGTCTAGGATTTCATTATCTCCCCGGAGATATCTGGCACAATAGCGGGAGGTTTTAAGTTTATGCATCTCGGAACATATAATTTACAGTCTTGCTTGATTGAGTGTTCAGAAAAAAAAAACTGAATATAAAAACTTTTCTCATGGCACAGCTAATTAGGGAGGTCGAAAGTTGGCGATACTTTGCGAATTTTTTTTAGAGAAACTAGGAGATATTTCGATCTGAAATTTCACCAGTATGATTACTAACCTGTAAGACAGTTCCATGATTTTTTTTGTCTAGAAATAAAAGCTGTTAAAGAAGTTACAGGTCACAGAATCAGATACTCAACCTGGAGCTAAAAATTTCCTACACGTTCGATTTTTCTTTTCTTTTTTTTGAGGAACATATTCCTCAATGTTTGTAAAAGACGTACAAATATTTTCGTAGAAAAATATCGGCTGTAAGGAAAGTTGTGCTGTAAAATATGCGAAGTACCGATTTTCGAAGACACCTTCCGTTTCAATGTTTTATTACAGAGAATTTACGAGAGATATTGTCGTAATGTCGACATCGAGAGATAAAGGGATGTTTGTAGAATACGTGTGCAAAATTTGGAGCGAATAATTCGATTAGTTTTTCAGATACCCCAGGGAGAGCTTTGAAAATGTCACCACTCTTTTTATAGCTCGCTTTTAAGGGCACTTTGAAGTGTCAGGGTCGAGTTAGGATCAACTAAGGACCGTGTCTGCGGGAAGTTTGTACCTCTGTTAGGTGTACTTGATTAAATGGACCTTTGTAGAAGCAGGTTGTTTGCGAGAAATAGTAACTGGATTGCAAACAGTGGCTGAAATCTCCTTACTGCCACTGTCCACGGATTTAAGTCTAGGTAGCTCTCCCTAAAACAGATACAGTTCCTCCAAGTACACAGTGTGCTATACAATAACTTTGTTTCAAATTTCCACGGAAGAGATTTTTGCAAAAGTTCGAGACTGAAGTGTACTTCAAGGGAGAAACAGGAATAAATATTCTATTTTCTCTAAATTTGAAAGTCGTAGTGGGTCGTAAAACTATTTATCAAGGGTTCGACATTTTCAAATTTTTCCAACACCTGTCTCAAGCGCTGGAAAAAGAAACGAAAGCTTTAAGAAGCATTTTTTTCCTTATTTCCAATTCCATCGGCGGCCATGATCGATCGAGGGATCACGATCCATCACGTGATTCCGCCGCCATGAATATGCAGCCGCGCTCGCGGCTCGCTTCATGCACGAATTCAACGCGCTCCTTTGACGACTCCCTTCGACGAGTTTTGCTTCGCGATTCCCTGCTTTTCTGATAAAAGAAACCTCGAAATTGGAACGAGCTCTCCTCTTTTTACGCTTTTCTCAAACGAAAGAAAAACGATGGTAAAAAAGAGATTGACGAGTGGGTTTTGAACTAAAAATAGAGGGAAGAAAGTAGCTGTACGATTCAATTATTGGTCACAGACAGAGCAAGAGAGAGAGAGAGAGAGAGAGAGAGAGAGAGAGAGAAGAAAAAGATGTGGTCGATTGCATTTTTCTACGTTGACGTAACTTCAGGTTAGGTTGGAGGGGTTGCGGAGAAAGAGACAGGGAATGTGTTTAATTAGCGTGAAGGAAGGATATGGTGTTGTTTTCATTATACCTTCGTTGAATCGTTCCTGCTTGCCTCGTTTGTGAAATATGAAATAACAACGAGGAACCGCAGGATACTTTATTACATACCGTTGAGGTTATGATGAAAAATTGAGGTATCTCGTTGATATAAATTGAAATTATTCTCTGTACAGGTGTTGTGGAATATGAAATTTCTTACGTGAAACCTTACTGGAAGCACGTTGTGATAATTGGTGTATGCTGGTTGCTCGCTAGACGGGGACCAAAGTTCTGAATATTTCGAGTTTTACTGAGAAACAAGAGAAGACAGGACGTACGTTTATTAGATAGAGAATGATCATTTAATTCTTCTCTAATATACGCATACGCTGCTTTGGATATTTTTTTCATTCGCGTATTGTACCACTGTTCAACGTATTCACGTTGGGACAATTGGTGCATGCGGGTTGCTCGTTCGGCAGGGGCCAAAGTTCTGAATAATTGTAATTATATTACTGAGAAACCAGAGGAGATAGAACGTACATTTATTGGACAAAAATTCACCGGATTCTCCTCTATTACATGCGTATACTGTTTTTGTGCATTGCACTGATGTTCAATGAAAATTAAATGTTTACTTGACGCTTTGGATGAGACGTCTCGCGTGTTTTTACATTGTACTATCTAACGATGTTACACGTACCACATTTCACGACTATGTATTATTATTATCAACACGATCGTCACTTACATTACCCTCTACATTGTCGTTACTCTCACTATTGCTAATAAACCGATTTTTCGTTCGTTACCTTGTCACTATAGACAGAACACGGAATGTCACATGAAATGTAAAGTTATAGACTCGATATTAGATGCGCGATACTTCACCTGAAAAGTTGGACGAACGCCATTGACTTGTAAATATTACTCGGGATTCCATGGACGCGAAATAGTTGAATTTTCCAATTTTTTCCCAATATTTTTCTCAGCTATTAGGCTCAGGAACGAGTCGATGGGCGATAAATTCATCGTTTTGGTGACGCGTACTCGTGAAAGGGTTGCCATAAAGTAAACGGCAGCGAATCACGAATAAATCTTGCCTTATCCAGCGGATTTGCGACCAGTGGATTCGCGAAGCCGCGGACGCACACTTGTGGGCTTTCGTCGCGTGACACGACCGGAAACGGGGTCACGTGTGCGGATGTTACTCTGACAGCCAATCTTTCACCACCACCCTGACACTATTGTTGACAGCACTTAAAGCTAAATCCAGCCACGATTCTCGTGATGCATGGCCAGTGAAGCTGTTTCGTGCTCGACGATAAGGGGGGTATGGCAATTTCCCTGGAAAATATTTGTTTGCCAAAATTTGCACTTGGTACAATACTTTTGGGTTGTTTCACGGTTACTTCAGGTTGGATTTCTTACGAAGAAAATTTTTTCAGGAGAATTTTTTACCAAGGAAATTTTTTTACGACGATTTGTCGCGAAAATTTCTTTCGTGAATTTTAATTTAAGTTTAGGAAGTTAGAAATAATTTAAGTAAGGAAAATTTAGTTTAGAATTGCTTCAGAAATTTTTCGTTCGACTCCCTTGTAACGAAAACATTTTTTTTTCCAAGGATTTATATTTTCTGAATATTTATTCTGACTGTTAATATTTTTAGAGAGAAATTCGATGCCTGTTTCGTGATATTTCGAACGTAATTACCAGGCGAGAATCGCTCCAGACTCCGAGGCACTTGAATCGGCTATTAATTAAGGGCAATCAGTAATCAACAGACTCGTTGTCTAGTTCAAATTAGGCTTAATTGTCTCAAGATTCATAGCTTGGTAGAATAATTAATCGACGGTAAATTAACCTCGCTGAACGTTCTGGTAGTTCAAATGGTCCGAAAATTGTACTTCGATAACACAAGTAAAGTACCATTTCTCCGCTGCAGAAATTCTAGGAAATTTTTTTCCTTCGCACATAATTTGTGCAGTCATTTTATTCCCTTTAACGTACCTTCCACTTGGAAAAATTCATTTTTCAAAATGAACAATAAAGAATCTTCCGACTGGGTTGGGTCACGTGAAAAAGTGTGCAGGGCAATTGGTGGGCAGAAAAATGAAGATTAATAGATCGTGGGTCGGTATCGATTATATCAAAGCGTGGAAACGTGCGTACCGCAGAAGCCATATCTAATAAGATC